AAATCGCAGATTAAATCGTTTTTAAAAAAAAACGCGGCTTTTTTTAAAAAGCCTCAATTAAATGGGCGACTTGCTAACTTTGGTTTGGAGTCATGATTCATGAGGGTCGATAAATAGTATGATATTTGGGTGGGTCATATAGGCCCCAATAATTTAACCATGACAATAATCGTCCATTTTATAGTTTGGAATTGATCTCAGGGAATTGGCCTCATAATTCCATATAAAAGGTGAATAATCTTCCTTTTTATAGTTTGGAGTTGATATCAGGAAATTGGCCTCATAATTCCATATAAAAGGTGATTTTTTGATGTTGGGCTTCTTTAAAAATAGGGAAATGATCATGTGCATTTTTGATATACAGTCTTGGTGGTTTTAGCTCAACTAAACCCTAACTTGGAGATTAAAGGGCAAAATAAAAAATGTTAATGATCATTCTAAACAATTCATTTTTTATCACCACAAAACTGTGTATTCAAATGTCAAAATGTAAAGAATCATTCCCCTTAAAAAACAATGTAACTTCAATCAACCTTTTCAAATATATAATGCCAAATATGTTGCCTTACCTTGAATATACAGCTTATCTTTTCTACTTTTTTTTTATGCAAAGTATACACCTATTGATCACACTAGAGAGTATGGTAGAAAGATTTTATGGTCATTGCAGAGTAAGTGTTGATATGTTTGTCATTTTAGAACAAGTTGTGAATGTTGCTAGTCATACTACAAAAAGCTAATGGGAATATATCCACCCTGGGAAAATTTTAGAATCAGTAATAAATAAATAAATAAATAAACTGGAAAAAAAGAAGAAGTTATATTCACTTTAAAGTATAAAATATACCTTTTTCAGACCAGCAGCACCGGCAAATGCCCCAAGGATTTCGAGAGAGAGGTGTGTGCCCGACTGCCTGTGAGCTTTAGAGAGAGAGAGAGAGAGAAAGAGGTGTCATTTAGAGAGAGAGAGAGAGAGAGAGGGTATGCATCTGTAGTTAGAGAGAGAGAGAGAGAGAGAGAGGGGTATGCCATCTGATTTAGAGAGAGAGAGACGTATGCCAACTGGCCGTGCGGTCTCTTTGAATAAAAGCATAAGTTTTGTCGTCATTTTGCATTAAGGTAATTTTGTTATTTTAAGAAACGGGTAGCCTCTGTTCCCATAGCCTCTATAGTGTTTTTAGAAACTTCCATTTTACTTGTGCAGAGCGCTTTTTATTATTACACCATAATTCACACCTCATACAGAAAGAAACAAAAAAACCAAGGATAAGATTTCCGTGAGTATGTTTACTCTAGTGTAGGAAAAATTGAATTCGCATGGTTAATCGGACATCGGACCAGTTCAATAACCCTTATCGGTGACCTAACCGGACAAGTCTCGGTGGTCAGAAAAGTGTTAAATTTTGTTTAAAAAAATATTTAAAAATTAATTAAATATGAATGATTAAACTAAGCACATCCAAATGAAATTGAAAACTAATAAACAAAAGATTTGTGCAGTAGGGTGGTTTAGATTTTTTTAAAAAAAATTTGTAAAAATAAGTATTAATGGCCAAAATAATTTCCAACCTTTGTCAAAATAATGAAAAACATTAAAAAATGTACTACAAACAAAATATCTTATTTTTTAAATTTTTTATATATATATTTTTAAAATACCCGACCGGTTCACTAAAATCGGCTAACAGCTAGTTCCGGTTTAACTGGGCTACTGGGCCGTTAGAATTTGAACCGCCTGATTTTTCCTACAGAAGTTTTACTCTTTTACTGAAAACTCATACATAGAAATAGGTCTCCTCTCTATAATCCATTTTTGCGACATATTTTGGATTTTTTAAATGTTTTTTGGATTCAATTTTTTTAAATATATGGAGATCATTTATATCTAAAAATAAATAAATTTTAAATTTAAAAATAATGAGTTTTTTAAGACACGTTTTTTTTTTTGGAAGGACCCCAACTTTACATCCATTTTTTTATTTGAGAAGATAAGCTTTCATTACAAGTTGAAAGGAAAGGGGGGGGGAAGAGAAGAAAAGGAAAAGAGACAGAAAGAGGGAGGAAGGGAGAAAGAGAAAAGCATATAAAGACACGGCCCCTCTTTGGCCAGACGATCAGCAGAGTTTACATCCATCCATCCATCTTTTAGATAGATGGTTTATGCAATAGGGATGGAAATGTAAGATTGCATCCCCCGAAGCATAGGACACTTGTCCAAAAGCAAAAAGACGATAGAGACAAGTATTTTGAAAATCGGCCTAGCGGATTGAACCCCACCAATACTGATTGGGACTCGTTGCGTCAGTTATTGTGCTTCGCCAACCTGGTAAACTTAAAAAGAAAAACACGGACCACATATATAAGTTTAAAATGCTTAAACAATAACCTCTAATCATTCTCAAAACAATAGTTTTGATATTAAAAAATTGTTAATACAATTTTTAGACTTATTTGGGTGATAATTAAGGCGAGAAATTATACTAGATACATATTTCTATTTGATTTTAAATAATTAAGATAAGACTCGAACGAGTCCTAAAATATCTATCTAAAAGATGTTAATAACAAATAGGCAAAATTTGAGATGGCGTTTCTTATTATTGCCTCCCAAAACATAACAGGTTAATAAAACATTTTGGCTACATGTTTATTAAAAAAATGTAAAAAGAGATTATTTATTTTTAGTATAAAAAAGTCACAATCTTATTTAAAATCGGATAGTTATGTATGTGTTATTGATTAAACTAAACGTTAACAAAAAAAAAATTCATGAACTTCGTAACACACTCCAAACCATCCAATTTGATATTTAATAATTAACAGTAATTTTATCCTCCCTAAAAAACAAAAACTTTTACGTAACAAACATAAATAATCTCATAATATGTGGTTTTATTTTCTTGTACCAAAACATGGGTGTAAATACTAAAACAATGAGATTTTAGTATATGGTTTTATTTTCATGTACCAAAACATGCACCCAAGATTTTACATGGGTCCGTGTCTCTTGGCAATGACGTCAGCCCTGGCGGGCCCCGACGCAGACGACACCCCCAATTCCCACGCAAGCCCTGGGTGGGGCCCACCTAGCCCAAGGGAATCGGATATTTTAAAGCGCGTCAAGCAAGGGCATGGAACGAATTACATTTCGACACGTGTCGGTCTCATAATTGCCTCCTCCCACCCTCGGGCGGCGGTGCTCCGGGGGACCCACGTCCCGGAGCCTAACCTTTCGGCTTAGACATCGCCGCGAAAGATCAGATTTCGGGGAATGTTTGGCCGAAAAGTAATATCGCGGCGACAATGATTGTACGGCCGAATTTTCAGGGTGTGCTCAGATAAAGTCGAATGGCTTTGCGCTACGGTACACGTGTCGCGTGCGGCTCACTTCCCTAAGGCAGCAGCCGTGTCTGGCAAGCAACCTCCCAGAAACGGAAATCACGGAAGGGGAGGGACCGCTGCTGTTATTTATCGGTAACGGATAACGAAAATCGATGAAAGAAAATAAAAAAATGGAAGGGGTAAGGAACAGTAAAATGAGACGACAATGGAAACAGGCAGATAGTGGAACACATAAAATAACAGATCTTAATACATTTTATTTTATTAACTAAATTACCTTTAAATATCCATTTTCCGAACAGTAAGCCGTTTTTTAACTTTGTTATTCAAATTAGAAAACTCACAGAATTTTGTATAAATATCTGTTATATTTTAAAATTAAATGTCCCCAATATTATGTATTTTACCTTGATGCCTCTTTTGAAGAGCTTATATAGTATTTTTTACCGTGAGGAGTATATAAACCTAAAATTTTGAGTTTAATCTAATTAATGGAGAGATAAAATTACAATATGATATATGTTGTAAAATGGTGGGATATGAGCTTAAAATATGAGATATTGCGAATAATAACTAAATTTCACAAAAAATAAAAAATATTTACATAGAGGGCGGGGTTTATCTAAGGGTGCCTCCCTATACTAAGAAGTAGGGCGCATCTCTAAAATTTGCTTAGAAATGTTGTTTATGTGTTAGAAGCTTTATGATAAATTGAAAGTCTACTTTCATCTTTAGTTATAAAATTTAAAAATAAAAAAAGTTATAGAATAAGCAGATCAATAAACACTTGAGAATTTTGAAAATAAACACTATAGATAATTTGTTATAATATGCATTAATTTTTTGACAAAATAATCTTTTTTTTTTTTTTCACGTCATACATCTTGAAATCGAGATGATTAATTTGAGGCTTCTCCAATGTTGGACCACTCTCTTTGTAGGATTTTGAGGTGCACTTTACTTCAATAATAGAACTCCACCACGGCTGGTCCCAAGCCAGTCATGCTGGTCCCTTGTTCGGCTAAAAGACAAGGGTTATATTAAGTAAGGCAGTCAAAATAAAACTTTGCTAGATTATTTCATGAATCTCAAAACATAAAATGATTCAAACTGCCGACCCCAAATAGTTAGATACCTCAACAATGCGGAAAGGAATTATGTCGGCATTGCCATACAAAATCCGTTATTTTGTACCCCATTCCCTCCAATCACATAACGGCCGTTATTCCTACAGCCGGCTCGGCTTGACTCCACGGCTTCATTCCTAATCGGCTCTACCACCACGACACGCACTCCGGCACCTTTTATTTCCCTTTGGTAAATTGAGGTATTTTCACCATGTAACTTAGCCTGCTTGCGTTGACTTGTATTATGTAATAAAAGACCGACAAAAAAAAAAAGAAAAAGAAAAAAAAAGATAGCGGAGATATTGAGCTGGCTGCTTTCTCACCATCCGACTAGGCCAAAAAAACAAGCGTTTTGTAATAAAATGATTTATTTTCCTTTTAGTTTTCTCAAATAATTACGGTGTGGAATTATATGGTCTATAGTCAATGGTGAGAGACCATTCTAGAGAGAGAAAGCTAGAGAGATAGAGAGAGAGAGAAATGGAGTATTAATATGGAGGAAACAAGGAAAGAGGGCTCGGGCTTTAGGTATACCAACTGGTGGTTAAGGGATTTTAACACCCGACCGAACTGTGAAGCAAGGACTTAGAGAGAGAAATGAATTGTGATAACCTAGAGAGAGAAAGAACAGGAGTTAGAGAGAGAAAGGGAAAGGGGGAGAAACCAAAAGGACAGGAGAAAATCGGGGTGGTCTCACGTGGGGGGAGATATTGCATATTAAAATGGAGGAGATGAAGGGGAAAATGATTGATTATTTATTGTTTGGGTAAAATGAATAGAATAAATTATTATTCTATCGAAGTTTGGTTTAGAGAGAGAGGGAATGGTTTCTTCTCTTTATTTTTGTTGATCTCTCGGGATCGGTTATTGTCTCCGTTAAAGGGAGAGGGAAAGATAGAGAGAGGATTCGGTGTTTTTTGTTCCTCGCCTGCAAATTCTGCCTCCCATCATACACACAAGGTATGTATGTCATTCTCAAACTTTTCCAACTCAATCAATCAATAATACACAAACCCCATTTTTAACTCCTCTCTCTCTCTCTCTCTCTCTTACGCCCTTTTCTTTCTTAAATATTGTATTTTTTCAATGGAACATCTGCTCTTTTTGTTTGTTTCCTGGTTCGATTAGGTTATGGTTTGAGTGGTGGCGATGTTTTCCCATCGGTGAATGAGCGCTTTCTCTCTCTCTCTCTTCTAGTATCTCCACTGGTTATCTGAAAGCCATGTTTTTTCATCCCTAACTGAGCTCTCTCTTTCTTTCTCTCTGTTATCCTCCTTTGGGGGGTTCATCTGGAAGCTATGTTTTTTCATCCTTAACTGAACTCTCTCTCTCTCTCGTGGAAAGCAAGGCACACGAGGGATGG